ATTAATTTCTATAGAATATCTCCATAATTATCAGAAGAATTTTAATAAACAATTATGTTTTAAGTTTGGGCTTATTAAACCCTTTCCTTTTATAGTATACTAGAGTATAATTTATCATAGAAATTATATTTGCATATATAATATATGAATAGTTGTGCTTTATGACTATTTTTTAATAATTTCATACTTTATGCATAGTCTTACTCCATTAAACTCTATGAATATTTTGCTCCTTTAAAAAACATGCCCCTGAGTTATTTACATTTGGCCTAGATAAGGGTTAGCTTAAATATTTGTCATTATTCTACTTTAGGTTGCAAAGAAAAATACTTCCTTACCTGCTTCATAGAACTTCAGATCACATGGCATTTGTATTATTTTATATTTTTGGTATGTACACACACACACATACACACACATTTCCCACCACTAGCCTGTGTATTATATGTATATGGACTGCCTCTGCATCATTTTTTAATGCCATAATGTTAGATATATTGTAAGTGTATAAAATGTTGAAATGAGTCAATATTCAAACATTGAAGGGCATTTAAAAAGTCCATTTTTAAGGTCTCACGATATTTTAAAATTAGCTTTTGTATCCACCAATGACAAATTTTATAGTCTATTTGTAAAATATATACTCATATGCATTATTTTGAAATTCCAATAATCTCAGGGAATTCGGATGAGCACTTAACAATGCTTAAACTGTATTTTAGCCATTGCTGTTGTCTGGAGAACACATTGAAAGCATAAATATTTGGGAGAGATTATTATATTCAGATAATGACAAAGTACTAGTAAAATGTCTAAATATGTGTAATGTGGAGTGTCCAAATATAATCACCCCATGATAGAGTTAGTAGCAAGTAAAATAAAAGCTCTAAATAAAAGCTCTAAAAATTACATTCTAATTTTTGTGATGCTTTGCATATCTTTAAGATGCTTGCAAATTATTGCACAATTATTGTGACTATTTGAATCCATATCAAAATCTGGATACCTAGAACAATTGATTCACCACGGTATAGCCTGTTTGATTGGCTAGGTAGGTATGGCCATTCCCACACCATGGCCAGATGATGGCAAATCCTGTTACTAACCAAATAATGGGAATTTTTATGATCTTAAATGAAAAGTTACAGCAAAATCTTAAAAATATGTTAATTCAAACCAGATGTAGAAAGATTTTGTTAAGATGTCAAAATAGTACTGTAAAGGAATAGTTCTATTATTGTTTGACTAATAGTTAGACTTTAGACATTAAAATAACATCAAGATTGAAGTATAATATAAACTCTCTGAGTAAAAAAATAAAGTAAAGCAAGGATTTTATACCTTTAATTGAAACCTGCTCTACTTTATTCACTGTAATAAAATTATATCCTATCATGATTTCCTAAAGCTCTTTACATAATTGTCTTTATTGACCAAATTTAGCCAGAATACTATTATGTCTTAAATGACCTCATTATATTGTGGCTGTTTTTAAAAAGGAAAATGTTCTGATTTGTTGGATTCTAATTAATGTATTTATCATAATTTTATTAATTTCAATGATTATCAAAGTTTAGCTTTCATGACCTGGGAATTTGGTTACTGTCATCTCTGCTTATTTTCTAGTTCTGCTGATTGAAATATCTATTAAGTCACAGTTTAATTACATAAGTTTCTACATAACGATTCAAGATTTTTGTTAAACTACATATAGAGTGAAATAGTCACTTACAGTTTAATATGGCCTATATTTCTTGAAGATTAAAATTTGTCTTGTCTCCTTCATGCTGTGATGCACTGCCACACCTTATTCTCGAACTGCATATTGGTTTGAGAAGCACTCTTTATTGATTTCTGTTATGTTAATGTAAATGTGTCTCATAAATAAACATACTGTGTTTAGTTAGACATAAGTATTAGTAATATCAATGAACATTATTCTCTAGTAAGAGTGTTTTAGATTTCATTACAATGTCCTAAAACTAGCAGTAACTTTACTTGTCTTTCTGATTGAAATTAGGAATAAGTGCTCTAAATTTTTTATGATAATTTATGAGTGCATGTTTGCATATACATGTGTGTGAGAGAGACACACAGAGAGACAGAGACAGAGAGACAGAGCTCACACTCTAGCCTCAGACACAAACTGGATATATAATCAAGAACTATGTTGAAATCTGCACAAATGTTAACTATTTTTAAAAGAAGTTATAAAAGAGTGAGGATTACATTTTTGAGTAAAGTCACCTTCCTTATACTACCAGCCACTGTGTCCTATTAATTTTTCTCTGGTAATTCCATTCCCAGTGCCATTTCAGTGCAGTGGAACCTGTCACAAGCTGCATCCTCACCATTGCCTGAGAATTGCCTCTCTTTTCTCTTGACTGCCCTCTGCACCTCTCCCAAGTTAATCGTTCTAAAATACTGCATCTATCCCAGTCTTCCCTTGCTAATTCAGCACCCACTCTTCATGGCTGTCTATTGTCTTCACAATAAATCCTAAATTTTTAGAATAATGTGAACCTAACTCAAGACACATCAAAGTGTGTGGCCCCCTGTTTTAATTTATAATCTATTTCTTGATTGTTTACCAATAATCTTTTCTAGCTGGATAGTGTATTCCTACTGCTACACCCACCTCTTCCTCTTTTCCAACCCTATTGATTTTTCAGTGTTTCAGCCTTTATGGCTTTGTAATGAATTATCTGAGAATTTAGTGGTGTCAATAAACATTTGCCATGCTCATCAAATCTTAGGGTCAGAATTTGAACAGAGTACAGGAGCAAAGTTGTCTCTGGTACACAGAGTCTGGGGCCTCAGGCTGAATCACCTGGAGCTCCTTCAATCACAAGTTTAAGGGTTAGGGTTAGGGTTATGGTTAGGGTTAAGTTTAGGGCTAGGATTAGTGTTGACTGTTGGCCGGGGGCTCACCTCCTCTTCACGTGGGACTCTCCATGTGGGCCTCTTCCTGTGGCTGTTCTGCAGGAGCTAGTTTTTCTCAGAGCAGATCAGCTGACTTTCCCATGGTGGCTCCCCCCAAGGAGAAAGCCATATAGAAGCTCTATCCTTTTTCATAAGCTAGCCTCATCATTCACATGGCATTATTTTTGCTGTGCTCTATTGGTTGGAGCAGTCACAAGCCTGCCTAGGTTCAAGTGGATGATAAATAGGACCCACTTCTTGATGGAGATCGGTGAGGTTTTGGAAGAACATGTGGGATTGGAAATACTGCTGTGGCCATTTTAAAAAAATGTCATTATGTCATATTAGGGACTGTAGTTCTTATCCCATATACTCTTTTAAACGTTCCTAGATTAGTATTGGCCCTGCCAACCTTTCCCCATTCTGAGCTCTTATAAACTGTGCTCTTGTTCACAACCAGTATATTTTTTTGAATTGTTAACTTTCCTAGTGCATCTCTTTGATCTCCCCAACTATATTGCAAATTGCTCAGTGCAAGGACGTTACTTTCCAGTGTTTATATTTCCCACAGGGCCTAGCATAGGGCTTTGGACACAGTTGATGTTCAATAAACCTCTGGGTTAAAGTGAAATAGGCTTAGAATAAAATAAGCTTTGGCTTTTATGTATCGTAGATGTCTGTGGTGGATGGTCTTTGTGAAGGATGCAGCTATGGGGTGGGCAGTGGTGGCTGTGATCTCTAAGAAATAAGTGAACAAGAATCACATTTTAGACAGAATTAAATGTGTTTGGATTGAATGAAACATGAAGGCTTAAATGTCAACAAGGCATGATGGCAGTCAGTGGGAAGTGCTTTTTTGCATCTTAAGTTTTAATTTTAAATTTAAAATGTATTTAAAAATTCATTTAATTATTCCAAATAATAATCATTGAAAGTATTAAATTGAATTCTATGGGCATTTAACTCAGAGTCAATAAGACTAATGGATCAGTAAGAGTAAGTATTGTAACATTTCACATTAAAAAAAATATGTGTAGCTATGCTAATAAAAGCATTTATACTCTAATTTACTTTTATTTCCTTTTAAATTAAAAACAATACATGCTTATTTTAACAAGTCAAAGTATATAGAGAAAAAGCAAGTCTTCCCTCAACCATTCCCATACTGAAGATACAAAGTTTGGTTTGGTGCATGTTTTTACAGCTTTCTCCATGTTCATTTTGTATACTTTTCATTGTTTATATATTATTCCTTATATTTATTGTTCATGCCATAATTTATTATTCTTCAATATGCAAAGCTCATGGTTATGTCAATGGTAATTTCTCTATGTGATGATTATGGGATTTGATCATCAGTTATTGCTCTAGGAGGCTAAATTATAGACTTCGTAGCAAACTGGTAAATTTGATATTTTAATTCAAAGTTGGCTTTTTTTAAATAGATTCATAGAAAATATACAAAATAAAGTCTTTGTAGGATAAGTTTCCTGCTGTGTGCTCCATTGTATTTATTTGTTCACGTTATAAGAACAAATAGTAACTCAAGGATAGAACTACGTAAAGCATTATGACTGTTACTAACTAAAACCAATAATATACTAAGGTCTCAACCTTGTTAAATTCTCCTAATGGATATGTGTAATTTACACTTTACTAAATATTGTAAAATTTCATATGTTAAAAATTATTTGGACGTAAAATTTTCATGCGGAAGGTAAATGCACAGCCTATATGGCCTTTCAAACTCTTCCCACTATCAGGGGTATTGGAGTCTTGACCATAAAATGAAAGGAAGAGAATAAAGATCAGTCAAGTGAAAACACCAGAGTTCAGAATTCCTGACTGTCTGTAATCAGTCACTTAAACAGATCCTGTTATGTGAGGACGTTACACCCAGATCTGGTTATTATGTATTTATGACATTGAGAACTACTTATCTGGCATGGCTTTGCTATTTCAAACATGAATTGATAGAATATAATTGCCTGTATTATTATAACCTCCTGAAAAACTAAAAACATGATTGATAGAATATTCCAAGTCCTATATCTCTATATAACTATTGTGTATTTAAGATGGCAGATCACACTGAAGTGATGAAGGGCATTCGTCAATATCCAGGAATTCGCTATCCTGTCCTTACTCCTAATCTTCAGGGTTTCCACCGTGCTGTAAGTGTGCTACTAATCTTTCTAAAACTGATATGCTTCTTGTTGTAAAGATCTTTTCAAAGTTAAATTGGTGTGATATGACTCCCTTGTTATCCTGCATAAATACTATCACTAATACCCGTAATACAGGTACATGGAGATCAGTGACCTTGTGGCATTTTTGGGACTAAAATGCTCCACATAATGGCTCTTCCAGTCTAATCATTCAAGAATTAAAACATAGAAATACAATTACCCATTTTGATGAAAATCTTTTGAAAGTATATTTTGTGCTCCCCACTTAAACAAGGAATACAAAATATAACAAAGATTTCCCAATACAACATTATAATTATTAATATTATTGTAGTGGGTAATTAGTTTTGTCACTTTTTCTGAGGTTGCTGTTGTTCCCACCCTCTACATGGTGCTAATCACTATCTTTGGAATTGCCTCTACCAACTTTCCTTATTTGTCTTCCAGTTTGTTTCTTCCAATCCTATGTGCCTTGGGAATTTATATGCCGAGAAGCTTTCATAATTACACATACTAGAAGAATCAGTGTAGTTTTAAGTAAAGGCTTGAGGTGTTATGCTTACATGGCTTTATTGTAAAAGTTGAGCAGCAGCTATTTTTGGTATTAATGGATATTTTTCATTTTTGTATTTGTGACTGGGTTGCATGAAGTTGAAATTGTGGGTTCTAGTTGGTGTATCACCTATCAGTGTATCTTGTGAAACCACTTTTATTTGAATTAATACAAATTTTATCACATTGTAAAGAAAGACAGAGACATTTTAAGAAATTATAAATATTGCTGTCATCCGGTCCTAAAGAAGTAGGGAATGTAACCACCTTGAGAAAGATATGAGAGTACACCCTCAGGGTAGCATAGAAAGTAATAGGAGAAACTTTGGCTTGGGAGTCAGGCAAGCCTGTGTTTGAAACATGGCCCCAGAACTTTTACTAGCCTTGGGACCTCCTCTTAGTGTTTTAGCCTCTTTGAGCCACAGTTTTCTCATCTATAAAATCGCCATAATAATACTTCATTTACAAAATTGTTTGTGGATTAGAAATAGGGCATGCAAAATACAACACCAGCATATAGTAGGTGTTCAATAAATAGTACTTTAATTTAGTTAAATTAAAAAAAAATTTTTTTAAGTGAAGTATAGTTGATTTACAATGTTGTGTTTATTTCTGCTGTACAGCCAAGTGATTCAGTTATATATATATATATATATACGTTCTTTTTTAATTTTCTTTTTTAATATTCTTTTCTTTTTTAATATTCTCTTTTCTTTTTTAATATTCTTTTCCATTATGGTTTATCATAAGGTACTGAATATAGCTCCCTGTGCTATAAGTAGGAACTTGTTTATCCACAGAATTTTAATTTTAAAGGTTAAAAATTTATTTTGGATGGAAGAGTGGAAACCAGTATTTTTTTTAAAATGTTGGAGAGATGACAGAATTTTTTTTCTTAATGTATTAATAGGGTATCATAGAGAAAGGGGAATCTAGGCACAGTGCTAGAGATATATTAATAGAAAGTCTTAAAAATCCAGCTGGAAAACTAGGAGGCTTGACGTTGGAAACAAGCACTGGGAAGCCTGGAGGGAGGAGAGAAGATGGCCAAAGGGGCAAAAGGGAGAATTGATTAGGTCGACATTTTGGATTTGAAGACTTGCAAGAGGATTAAGGTCTTAAGACACGCAAGAGTTTGGTTGTCACAGTCAAGGTATGAAACAGTGGAAGTGAGGTTAAGAGATAGGGAGAAAATTTGGAGCAAAATCTAAATGATGACTTGGAAAAATATTTTTCTGTTGGATGGTAAGATGAGAAGAAAAACAGAAAGCATTTACTAGCCTCAATTTTAATAATTAAGTAAAAATAAAGTTTTCCATAGATATCAAGAGATTTCATTGTGGTGCTAGTATTTTCCATAATTACGGTTAAAATATTGCTGAGGATAACTTTTAGGAAAGGCAAAATTAAATTGGAACATCATCATTGTATATTCTGTGATTTATGAGTGTTGTAGTTTGTGGAATTATTGTGCTATCATAAAATATTTTTACATTTCAAAAGTGTGTATGCAGCAAGTTGAGAAAAATCTAATTTAAAATTTTAAGCAGAATGTTAAAGAATTCAAGTATTCTTTTATAGAGTAGTTAACATTGCTTCTGCTGCTCTTGTTTATGTTTTTGGAATTACTAGCTTTGGCCTTTGATTTGTATTTTTCAGGTTGCTGCTGGAGCCACTGAGATCTCCGTTTTTGGTGCTGCCTCTGAACCCTTTAGCAAGAAGAATATTAACTGTGCTATTGAAGAAAGTATGGAGAAGTTTGAGGAGGTCGTTAAGTCTGCAAGACACATGAATATTCCAACACGAGGGTACTTATGAAATCCCACAAATTCTATTTAGTTCATTAACATCAATTGTTAAAGCTCTTTATGAACTATCTAGACATTGTTTTATGACATATAATAATATACATAGGGTATCTTATTTATACCCTGATCTTATGTGATCAGGGCCATGATTATATACTTATTACTATAACTACCTCATTAATATCAGCTGATAATTTATGAGGGCGTATCTAGCCCTTATGTTGTCATGCATTTGAGGTCAGAGGGACCAACATCGCAACTGACATTGTTACTCATTTTATTAATTCCAAATTATCCAAATGCAGCCATTTTTGGATCTCAGCCTAGTGTAAACGGATAGATTGTTATGAACTCATAGCAACATTTGGAAAGGAATCATCTAATGTGGTTTCCAAATTTTTAAATTTTTTTAAGAACATGCTTTTTCTTCAAAGAATATATTGTACAGAAATTCAATAGATTATGTAAAATGTAAAATTGAGAACTGCACTGGGGCGCTGGGCCCATCATTCCACCCATTCAGCCTCCCCTCAACAGCTGACTTCCAGGTTTTCTCTGTGTGACCCCCAAAGCAAAATTATTTGGGGAAGGAGAAGAGAGAGGAAACTGGTTTGGTTCTTGTCTGCTTCCAGGACAGCAGGGGAGCATCTAGTGCAAACAGGCTCTATACTCAGGCCCATGTCTGTGAAATGTATAATAAATTCGCTGTTACTTAAGAAAGAAGTTGTTTCTCAGACATTAGCTAATTTTCTATTTTTATAATTATGGAGATATGATAAACATGCCGTATCATCTTCATAAATTAAAATGCATAGTGTTTGTAACAGAAGGCTGAGTGCTGTCACTGGGCTTAGATGCCGGTTGTATTTCCTATGGTTGAAGTAAGCAAAGTTCATAGTGGCAAGAAAGATTCAGTCATTAATGAGAAAGACAAGTGGATCCAATTTGGAGTGACTGGATTAGAAAAGGATTGGAATTCAACCAAGGTCATTTGGAGAGCAAGTAGACTTAGATTACACCATAGTTAGCTATCTTGTTGGTTTGCTTCCTTTTTTTTTAACTTCTTTTTCCTTTCTCCTTAATAAATTTCCAACATGACTTTTTAAATATATAAAGATATTTTTGTAACTGACATGCATACATAACATTCAGAGGGCGTGCAAGAAAGTTTAAAAACCAAGATAATGTATTTCCATAGACAGAAAATAAAGGATGTCTGTTCTTAAGGCAAAAGTTACATAACCACCATCAAAAAGGAGAGATGTCCTTTAAGTTTCTAAATTCAAACATCCATAAGTTGCTTTGTCTCTCTTCCCTCTAAAGGAAAGGAAAAAATGAAGATGCTCTTCTTCTATTTCAATTTATGTTTAAATGTGGAGTAAAGTAATTCACATTGGAAAGTTGAAAAAACACAAAACTCTAAGAAGTCAGGTACATGTAAGCTTATGCTTCAAATGGGAAGTGGTTTTTTTTAAATGTTGAAAGATGGATGTGAAAAAATTATATAATAACAAATTTTATCATTTTAGTTTTTATAAAATAGAATAGGTAACTTAATAAGGCTAATAGAAACCCTAACTCCCCTTTAATACTGATTGCTGAACATTTAATATTGTCCTGTCAATAAAGAAACTTCTAACCATGCTACAACCTAAGAAGTTTTTCAGGCTTTGATAAGAAGAGTACAGAAGTACAGATGGACGAGAACTCACCCACAGCCAAATGAAATCAGTGAAAGTACATCAGAGACTTATTGTAGTTATACTGTAGACAGATGTATGTTTTCCAACGCAGACTTCCTTCCTTTGGAGAACAAGCCCTTGATTTTCTGAAACGCTAGTCATTTTTAGAACTATGCGTTCGGATGGATGGATATGAGTTCACTATTTGTGCAGTTGAAAATTATCTTCTCTCCCAAACTTTTACAGAGTTTAAATTAGATTTTATTTTCACTGGCAATCTAGATGGTAGGTACTCATTATTAAAAGTCATAGGTCATTGGCACTCATTTAAGGGAAAGAGCCATGCTCAACTAGTTGAATCTGAAGTAGATGCTCCAGCCAGTGTTACTATGGCAACAGCTGCATCAACATGGACCATCACCCAGAAAATGTATATCTCCAGCTGCTGTCAGATTTAAAGGCCATGAGGCAGGACACATTTTATAAAGGCTCACTAAAGCCATTTAAGCTTCTATAAAAACAGTAAAGTTTCATATGTTCTAAATAGCAGCTTTTATTAAAATTATGAAGGCTATTGTTTGTTTCCTCCCCTCCCAGAAACACACACATACATATGCCTATGTACACGTTTTTATACATGCTCTGAACTTTATGTAACATATGGGACACATTGGGGAAAGACATGGTGCCAGATCATTGACATAAAATGCAGAGTCAGCTAACTACTGCTGCACATACAGTGTATGTTAGAGAGCAATGAAATGTCTACAATTTGGACTTCATTCTTTAATGTGTATTTCACATATGTTTAAAAAATGTAGGTTATTTTTCTCTTATTTGTTTAATTTTTAAAACATTAAAAAGACAGAGAAAAATAGAAGCCTGTTATAAATTTAATCACTTTCTTTCTTTTTATCAATGGCATTTATTGAAAGAATTATCCCTTGGTTTGTCAAAATCTGTTTAAAATTGAAATCCCTCTGATATGAAGTAGTGTTCTCATCTATCATGTAAGGCATTCAGGTTTTTTTTTTCTTTTTTTTTTTGTTGTTTAATTTTTAAATTTAAGTTTATTTATTTTTTTATACAGCAGGTCCTTATTAGTCATCAATTTTATACACATCAGTGTATACATGTCAATCCCAATTCCCCAATTCAGGCATTCAGGTTTTATTCCTTTTTGTTTGAAGTGAGTATCAGCTTCTCTTTAATGATGTCACAAGAATCACATGCTCACTCTTCTTGTGAAAATATTAATTTAGAAAGGAAACTATCTCTAAGGTGCCTTATTCATTTCATTATTAGATGCTTATAAACATGTTATAAATTCACAAAGTCAGCAGGTATGCATATCGAAGCAATGTGCTTTTACATGATAACATCTTAGGCCTCTTCTATAAAATGGCCTAGAATGATCTGATCCATGATTAACTTCCTGAAAGTCTGAGCCTACTGAATGTTGAAAGAAGTCAACTGATAACATTTTTAGGAGCCAAACAAAATTATTCACCCACTGTTAAAAAAAATACAAATTGCAAAAATATTTCACCATGAACTGTCAATGCTGAATTTATTCTCAAATTCCCAGAAAAAGTAGACATACAAAATAATGAGAAGGAAGAATAAAAAGCAAATTAGCGATTAAACTAATATAGACAGCCACAGATAACATTTAGGTATGGAAAAACAAAGACAGTTTTAGGATGTGATAATGTTTTGCAATATGATTAATATTGCAATGTGATTAATATTAATAGATATTTTGGAGGAGACAAGGAATCAGGGTTTCATAGAACCATAACGAGTCTAAGGTGCATATTTTATATAGCTCTTCACCTACTGTCACCTTCATCACCTACTTTCTTCTTATACAAAACCAATGAAAACCCAATCGGTTTTTAAATGCTTCTGAATAAAATAAAAATAAAATAAAATTCTGTATCATTTATATCAGTGACCAATTTCTTTGAGGAAAGACCCTCAATGTTAGGAAGTTCTTCCTGTGCTTAGTTATTTTTGACTGGTTGCCTAACCCTATATAATTTCTAACCTTTAAAATGGCAACCATTTCTAACAGCTGTGAAGCCAGGGCTCAGTGTTCTTTCTCAAAATGGTCAGCTTTCACTGGATTTCCCTTGGAGAGAGAATTTGTAACTCAACACGTTTCTTCAAGAATTTGCAGACTACTTGTTTGTTAGCCAAACCATCTAGGTCGTGTGAACATGTATTTTCTATCCTTCCCGTGCCTCATGCAAAATGTCATTATGGATCCTGATCCTGAAATAGCAGCCTTCTTGAGTAAGATAGTGAGCCTCCTTGTTTAGGGCTTAGTGTTTTAAATACACAGTGACTGGCAGGCAGTGTTTCTCATTGATGAAGCAAATGTGTTCCATCAGGTAATCTATCCCAGTGGAACTCACTTGCATATATGGCACCATCTTCCTATAAGTGGACAGTTTATTGGTCAAAGTTTCTTTCCAATTTCTACTGTTAAACTGAGGCCTTTGCATTGGTGTGGAAGAGCAATTCAAATCATCATCTACCAAAATATGGCACATGAAACTCTAATAGTGAGACATCTGTTAAAACTATTTTCTTTTGTACATATGTTTTGTTTGAGTTCAACTTATTTTAGCCTCACATATTATTCTGTCACGGCTGTCTGCCAGATAACACATACCCAGCTACAGTTAATATGTGTAAGTTGTGTTTGTGAAGTCACATCTAAATAGCCTTCACGTACAGCTTTTGAGCAAAGAATGTGTTTTGTCATTTCTCGTGAAATTTGCATTTTAGAACAAAAGGAGAATTTTAGCAGAATTGCTTTTTGAGACCAAGGGAAGGTCATTATTTCTTATATCATCCACAGAGATAGGTGCATGATAGGCTCTCAACTTTATTTATAAGTGGCTTGTTAATAATGGAATGCTATTTTATATTGTTTGTAGGTTGATATATTCTTCATGGGTTCATCAAACTTGTTCCTATATTTAAATGTCTTAATTACCTTTAATTGACATTACATGTCATCTCATCTCATCACCCTTGGCATTGTTTTTCTCTTCTGAGGATAGCAGTGGTTGACTACACTCCAAGTGTTTGTGATATTTATTGAAGGCTTTTACTCAGTCTTTTGGTTCCTTTATGTCAGGGTGGTTTGAGGAACATGGGCTAATTGTGGGAAGGTAGACCTGAGTAAGGCCTAACTGTAGGTTATTTTTCATGATTCAGTTCTGCTAGGTAAAGTTGTTAAAAACTTGAATGCTTCTGTTTTATCTTTTATCATGATTTTGCATAATATTGATAAATGGCCTTAGC